GTGATAGATTAAGCATCAGAACTTGATATATGCAAGTTGTATTGATAGATTACATCTCAGTCTCAGTATTGTTATGAATGCTTTTGAAGCAACACTCTATTCTTTTGCAATAGCACTGAATAGCACATCACAATATTATTCATCCACAATACTAGTGTAAAACACTAAAAAAAATTCAGTGCGAAAAAAGCATTCATCAATTTGTACAAAAATACGCCAAGAACAATCTCTGAAAAAATGAGCAAGATTGTCTGAATACTTCATGAGTTCTCTGCATAATTTGGATTCAAAACTATAGTCAAGATCTTCACCAGTGTCAATAGAAATAACAAAGTTTGCAGTGAACCCTCGCTTAGACCATGTGCCATCATAACTCACAGCAATCTCCGCAACATCTGACTCATTGTAACTGTGGTGTGAGAAGACTTTATCTCTACTCTTCTGCAGTTGTTCTGAAACTGCTTTCTTGTGGGCTTCATATAATGCGGTGGCATGATTATTCCAGGCGTTGGGATGACAAGAAGGAGGCATGTAGAAAACATCACACAGAGGTCATAACCGACATACCATCTCTACCCACTTCCATCTCCATTGCTGAGTAAACCTTCCTTCGATTGATATCCATGGCATTTCTTGGATTCCAACCGTGGTTCTTGTTTCCAGATGTCTCAAGATCAATTTTGGTATCACATTTGGGGCACATTTCAATAACAATGACTGTGCTATTTCTATATCTACGAGACTCATCATTCGTAACTTTTAACCCTCCACCGATTCACAATTATGCAAGGACTGAAATGCACTTGCTAATTCAGTGATGTTGAACCACATGGCGTCGACGTTGATGAAACACACTCAGAAAAGCTACTTTGACCCGACGTTCGTGCCATCGATTCGAAAACAAGGTCTTCAGAGCTTAGTGACCAGGCCATAACATAGTTGCTGCGGAGCGAGCGAGCCTGAAGCGAGCGAGCGTAGCAGCAGTCTAATTTGTGCAGAGAGGGGGTTCTGAACTAAATTTTATTTAGCGCAAGGAATTGTGGTCGTGCGCGTTTTTTATGCGCAGAACACAAATTTTAAACTCGCTCATATCCATGTACTTTTTGATTTCGACGGACAGAATGTCAAATTTTAAATCTTCTGTTCTATTTTGACTATTCAAGGTAAGATATTTTGTCTTTCGTTCATATGTTACGTTTACAGTTGATTACAAATTTAACTTCTATATATTTATGAAACGCTAAAAGCATACAATCGATCGCAGCTAGATTCATACTGTTTATATACGATACACTATATATACGATATATACTATCCAATGTGCTAACTGCTAATTCGCTTTGCTGGAGCAGTTGAGCCGTCATTGCTGTGAAGCAAATCAAGTCTTACATACAGAAGTCTTTTTATCCATTGGCATTTGTATTCTTTTGCTGATTTCCATATTTTGCATCAAGTGATGTTTCAAGTATGCGGCTTGACGCTTGCGAGTCGTGTTTAATAACATGACACAGTCACAGATAAAATATGCAATTGATCGTCTAAATTGCCTGACTGAATTATTCAGATTCGTGCAATGTTTGACCTATTTTATATTAAAGCATAGGTATATGTTTTTATTCCTATTTTTCAATGAGCTAAATGCCTAAATATTTTTGTTATTTAGTGCTTTTACCGGATCTTCACGTGGTTTCTGATTACACGTCTTCTCGAGCGCGTTCAAAGTTCAAAGTATCAAATGATGTTTTGTTACTCTTCATATGAAGCCAAACATTTACATGGACTCTCACAAGAAGACAAATAGCACATTTCAAAAACAAATATCCATGTTACCAAAAATGTTCTATTTTGTTAATATTTACAATATTTTCCGCGCGGAAACTGGAAAGTACAATGCTGTCAACTTTGTTGCGGTGGAAAATGTCGCTACGCGCGCAAAATTCTGCCTAATGTTCCTATTATTCCTATTAATACTGTTGTGATTCGTATATTAAAATATTTTGAAAACTAGCTGCTTCTAAAGACTTTGACTTGAACGAGCCGCAACTCGTATCTCTATCCAACATCGTAGAAGTTGGTATTTATGACATTGAAAAATGGCTATTTTCAGACGATTCGTTTTTGCCGAGTGCAATCTACAAATCCTTTGGGCAGCAAATACTTTGTTGAACATTTATCTTTTTGCTTAGCAAATTTACTCGCGAAATCATAATATAAACCGGCAGCCTATTTCAAAACAATTTCGAGATAAAAGTTAGAACTTGAACAGTTGAACTACACAACGATGTTTTTCATACGAACTACATTACATAGCATATATTGACCTATAATGACGTAATTGACAGAGTGTTCTCGCTAACAGGTATAAATTCATGTACAGCCCCAGCGAGTTAACGCTCAATAGAGGTTCACTTTACGTGTTTTAAACCTGCTATTGCTATTAGTTAAAGCGGATTTAGTTTACTAATATTTCATATAACAATTCACTTGGACCCTAAAATGCTCGCAGCAATCCCTACCTTGCAGGTAACCTAGTTACCAGTCCCTTATGTTATGTTGTATCCAGTGGTTGTATCATTTCAAAATTCAAACGTCATATTCTAAACGACCCAACATGCGTTGCGAACGCTTGCTATTTTGCAGTTAACCCGAACCACTGTATAAAAATTTATACACAGGCCAGTTAAAATCTCTTATTCAAAAACGTCAGAAAGCTCTTTCCCTAGATTTTCTCTCCAAATTTAGATGCTATCGAAATCGAGTTAACAGAGAAAGAAAATCTGTTAACTATCAAACACTGTGAGTCTGTTAACTATCAAATGGTTGGCGGAATGTAAAAAATATGCGGAGTGATAAAACCAACTAAAGACATTATGAACTTATAAATATCTAACGACCACCCATCCTATGAAGATAAATTTAATTTAGGAAACAAGATCAATGCAGCTTTTCTCCAAACTCAACAAGAATATATATTAGACAAATAAATTAGACACAAGTAATTTCGAACTGCCCTCAACCTTAAGGCAACTAAGCTCAGTTTTTTCTTCGAAGGCAAGCGATGCAGATAATATTCCAAATTGGATACTTAAGGACTTTTCCGATGTTTTGGCCAATGGCCATGCCTCCCTGCCAGATTATAAACTGATCTTTTGCCGAGAAACAGTCTCCCTGTATCTGGAAATGTGCCAATGTGACACCAATACCGAAAAACTCATCGATAACTGATATGAATAATGATTTACGACCAATAAAATAATATCGTTAACGCCCACCGTTTCTAAAATAGCAGAAGACTATGTAGTTAACAAACATGTCAAACAAGCTGTTCTTCAACATATGAGTTGCAACCAATACGGTGGAACTCTTAACTCAACAACCACCCATGCCCTGGTAAATTTACTCCACAATTGGTCGCAAGCTACAGATGGCACTGGTGCTGATGTGAGAGTTATAGCCCTGGGGCCAGTTGTATCAAGCCCGTTTAGCTTAAACGCTGGATAAGTCAAAATTAAATAACACTCTTACAACTCTGTTGAATGAGTCAACTTTAATATTATGCACTGAATATGTAGTTGTAGACAGTATCTTTGTATTAAGCTTAAAAACATTTAGTTTGCTTGTTGAATAAAACGATAGACTTGCTTTCTATTTTGAATTTATCCACCGTTTAAGCTAAACGGGCTTGATACAACCGGCCCCTGGATTATCGGAAGGCTTTCGACCTTATCGATCATAACATTCTAATATCCAAATCGTCTAACTATGACATAAACCCACATATTGTAAACTGGATTTGGGACTTTTTAAACAATAGATTACAAAGAGTTAAGCTGTCTAATGACTGTCTTTCCGAATGGAAATTAGTACCTGCTGGAGTTCCACAAAAGACCAAGTTGGGTCCCTAGCTTTTACTTATAATGATTAAGGATCTGGTCATCTGCTAACAAATTCCAAGTAAACCCGAAAAGTGAGAATGTCATTTTCGAAATCGCTTCCCGAATACGACAATCTTATAGTTAATTCAAAAAGCATTGAAATAGTTAATTCACTCAAACTCCTCGGCATAACAGTTAGCAAAGATTTAAAATGGAACATACAAATTGATTAACTAATCAAGAAGACATCTAAAAGATTGTGTTTCATCGTGCAACTAAAAGGGGCCAAAGTATCTCCTGAAGACCTGATCAAGTTTTATATAGCTTGTATACGTTCCATTCTCCTGTACGCGTGCCAAATTTATCACTATAATCTTCCCGAGTACCTAAGCAAATCCTTAGAACAAATCCAAAAACGGGCGATGAAGATCTTTTATGGATATGATACCTCATATAACTCCGCCCTTGAGCAAGCGGGAATTAATAAACTTTCTGATTGCAGACAACATTTGTGTGATAAACTTTTCAGCAGAGTAATCGTGAATCCTAACGAATCTCGACTTCACGACCTCGTCCATGTAATAAAAATTAAAGAAACCATCACAGGAATATAAGACGTTTTACCATTCTAATATGTAAAACCAATCGCTTTAAAAACTCATTTTTAATATCTAGTTCTCTTCATTATATAATAACAATATTTTCAATAACAGTTCATCTGAATAAATCAGTATTTGTAATAGATTTTATTAAATTACCTTTGTAAATAATCTAACGTCTTAATAATTCAGCTTACTAACTGCAAAATGGTTTTATTAAATAATCTATCTATCTAAATAATCTATCTATCTATATCTATCTACCTCTATAATAACAGTTTTCACCAAATCTTGATTATTCTATCTGTTACCACTTACCATGCAGTTGATAGCCACATGTACGAATTCGTACCTAACATTGCTAATTTTGGTGTCGTGACCATGTGAAGTAATACGGTATAGTGTAAAGAGAGCCGTATAGATGGTGTTTGCTTGTGCATAATAGTAAAAAAGTCGAGTATTTATTGTCCGCCTAAGCGCATAGTTTTAAAAACCAGACAATGTTATGATTGTTGAATAAACCCACCAAGTTTATTGATATCCAGCTTCTTATTTCTTTTTCCCGCAATGTGTTCGAGGAATTACGGTTGCGCAAGTACAATATATTATATGCGCACTTTTTATTTACGTTTGCTAAACTTTACGTTCACTAAAGTGCTGATAGCTGGCTTGGCACCAACTTTCTTATATAATAATTTTTGAGCTATTTTTGGCGAAATAAATCTAACAGGAAGTCCTATATGTCAGGAAGTCATAATTGCTTTTATCATAGTATCAGCATGCATAAGTGATATTTTCCGCATTTCAAGAATAATTTCCACAATCAGGAATGCATTATGTTGAATTTCGCATGACCTAAAAATGTTAGGCTAAATCCAATCATAATGATATAGTCACAGAATAAATATGAAATGCATAGTATTGGTAGTATAAGATTTGTTTTTGTTTGAGGATAGTTCACTCTATTTTTGCTGTAGACAAGTCGGCTATGTTATATTTGATAAAAAATAAAGACTTAATTACAACGAAGTAATTAAACGTTCGTGCAGATTAACACACAGCTGCAGTGACTAGAATATGGAAACCTCTGGATTGTAAAGAGTGTCCCTATGTTGATGTTTTGTGTAAAACTACGCTATAACGAGTCATTTACCATTCGTAAAATGCGCATTCCATGGACATGCACAAGATTCGTGAGATTTCTTGACTCCTGGCAATTTGTAAGAAATATTTCAAGAGTCCTATAAACAGTAATTAAGCAATTATAATAACTTGTAGGTACACCACGTAAGTATTAAATACTGCAGTATTTAATACTTACGTGGTGTACCTACAAGTTATTATAATTACTAAAGTCGCCATGCAATCATACAAGAAAATTATTAGTAATTAAGCACTTAGAGACTAGTTATAATTTCACAACTCGTGGGTTCACGAGTCGTAGATAAATGAATTTAAGAAACATGGCATAGTCTATTATCAATTATCTAGAAATAGAAAAACATTTCTCGACGTTTCGCGACGTAAGGGATCAAGGTTCACGAGTCGTAGTCACGAAATATAGAGTGACGAATTGAATACGAAACATTGCAGCGTCTTATTATTTCTAACAATTATCTAGAAATAGAAAATCATTTATCGACGTTTCGACGTAAGGCACTCAGTCGGAAGATGTATTAATTAATCTGACGAAAGGTACACAGTACAAAATAAGTAGCTACCAACTTTTCTGATGACAACCCTGAGATCGAAATGTTGAGAAAGGTTTTTGTGTACATATTTACTACCAGTACTAATAGTTTTACTATTCTAGTTTTAAAAGAATTACTACTAGTAATTTAGAACTTCCCAGGCCATAGTCCTTAACATTTCTGTCAACATCCGTAATAGCACGTCGATTCATAAAACTTTCTTGGAGACTTCTATAATAGACTCTGCCATGTTTCTTATTCGTTTATCTGCAACTCGTGAACCCTGATTTTTTATAACTTCGCACGAGTGGTGAAATTATAACTTGTCCATGCAAGTGCTTAATTACTGTTTATAGAACTCTTGACATATTTCTTACAAATTGCCACGAGTCACGAAATTTCACGACATCTTGTGCATTTGGAATGTGCACTTTACGAATCGTAAATGGCTCGTTATTGTAGCGTAGTTTTACACAAAACAGCAATATAGGGACACTTTTTGCAATCCAGAGATTTGCAGAGATTTTCATATTCTAGTCGCTGCTGCTGTGTATTAATTTGCAGGAACGTGTAATTACATGCATGTTCGTTCATATAATCGGTTCTTTTTATTTTTTATCAAATATAACATAGCTGACTTGTCAATCCTATCGTTACCAATACCATGCATTTGATATTTATTCTGTTGTTACACTCAGTGTATATCATTGTGATCGGATTTAACATTTTGGGTCATGCAAACTGAATTTGCAGTCCTGATAATGGAAATTATTCATGAAATGCGGAAAATATCACTTATTTTGATATCATAATAAAAGAAATTATGAATTCCTGACATAGGACTTCCTTTTGAATTTATTTCCCCAAAATTAGCTCAATAATTATTATATAATTGGTGCCAAGCAAGCTATACCACTTTAGTGAACGTAAAGTTTAGCAAACGTAAATAAAAAGTGCGCATATAATATATTGTACGTTGCAACCGTAATTCTTCGAACACGTTCCAGGAAAAAGAAACAAGAACCTGCAAATCAATAAACTTAGTGGGTTTTTCAACAATCATAACATTGTCTGCTTTTTAAAACTATGCCCATCAGGCGGACAATAAATATCGACTTTTGTACTATTATGCACAAGCAATACACTATCTATATGGCTGTCTTTTCACTATACCGTATTAATTCACATGGTCATGCACGTCACCAAAATTAGCAATGTTTTGGCAGGTTTTACAGGCTAAAGTATGATACTAACGATAGCGTTATTGCTTCAACATTATGCATTTTTAGATTAGAAAAGCTGGCGCAAAGCAAGACGCTTCTAATATATCGCCGTATATATAATTATCATTTCATACCCATTACCATTATTTGTAAATTTGTTGGTAGAATCTGTATTTGATGTTGTTGTGCCGAAAATAAATGTTGTTCAGGTTAAAATCAAAAATAGGCACGCATTCGTACATGTGGCTAGCAACTGGTAAGTGGTAACCGATGGAATAATCAGGATATGGTAAAACTGTTAAGGTAAAAAATTATTTTGGTATTATTCGGTTAGCCTTTGAGACAAAGCTATAAAAAGTCACAATAGAGCATGTAAGCTGTTATTTCACTTCGTCTGTCGTCTTTTGCTTGGCGTTTTATATTATTTCGACATAGCTTTAGTGTTTTAAACTATACACTCAAAAATGGCCAAATGTGCGAATTCGTTGATGAAATTAAGAAATGTGGAAGGGCAAGGTCCCGAGGTCTCTTATCGAAGGTAAATTCAGACTTACTGTAATGAATATTTGTGTGTTGTGCGAATTGTTCTTTACTTCCTCCCGGCTTTATGAAGCTTGACATAAATAAATATGAATACTTACTATTATTTACACTGCTTCCTAAACGAGATATGTATGCCTTAAGCTTGCCAGTAGACAGCATGGACTGGCTATAATTTGAATACAACTGCTGCATGTTTATAATGATATAATATGCGCTTGTTGTAATATACTTATACATCAGTATTTTTTAGAAGTCTCTGATATTCAAAAGCATTCAAAAGCACTCATGCATAGACCCCTGGTTTAGGAATGAAATGCTAAAGTTAAGGTCTAGGAGCTGATTCACAAATCTCCTGTATTTTGGCACAAGTTAAATTTACCAGCTAGGTTAATATTTCTAAGATGATGATTTTATTGTTTTTGTTATCAGGAAAAAAATGGCACTGAGTGTTAATCAACCATATCTCCATCTGCTATCCAACATGTATACCAACACCAACATCCTTTGAATCATCAGTCAAAGAAGTGGTACTGCTCATGGCCTCTAAATTTGGGCCAATTTTTTAAAGATATATGGTACTCCTTAGGCACTAGTTTATAGGCTACTGTGAAAAATGTGTTTGCAACAGCAAACAGAAAGCCTAGCAATGTTGAATTGTTTTATTCTCAAAGTTGCCGCTGCTTGTCTCATATTTTATCCGCGATTTGGTGTAAAATTCTATCTTCCAGTTGTTCAAGCTGAAGCAATAGTAAAATATTCAATAACAATAGTTGCAAAAGCTGTTCATCGTATTAGACCCTTACGCCCTGCACGCAAACCGGTCTTATTTAGACCCCGTTTACTGACTACACAGGATTCACGTGCTCATGATATCACTTCATCGTTTCACAGTATCTAAGACTGTATCTTATATAGTACGAACGCAAGAAGAGTCTATAATTTTGATGGTCAAACAAATTAACACAATCTGGTACATGGCTAACTTGATCTTGTGACCGTTTCGATATAAATTATGGTAAGCATGCACGCTCTTAAGCAGCTAGCAAGTCAATGACGCATGCATTTCTTACTACAATTATCGCTATAGGATGTGCAAGAATAGCAGACGCTTTGTCTGACAGGGCCGTCGTTAGAAGCTTCATTGGGGTCTATACATGCGACTTTTTGTAGTCTTATTGATTTTGAATATTATTATGCTCCCCAAAAATTTAGCTGACATGGCGACGGCCCTGCTGCAGTGGCACGAATTAATTTATTGTTAGAATTTAAATGCATGGACTAGAGACGTCGAATCGACTGTATAAATGACACAGACTTCAGCTCATCAACATTTTCGACACATCAAAAGTTTGACGTCTGAAACAGGCCTTATAAGCTGCATATAAATTAAACTCTGGAGCAAAACGTGGAATTTTTGGCGCCAGAGAAACTTTGTTTTGTTTTTAGATTTTTTTTTACCTAACCTCAATAACTTGTAATAAAGCGTTTATTTCAGTTATGTGTAAGTCATAGGTCCTGTTTTTGCTAATGGCAATGACGAAACAAACAAATATTCGAACATGAAAAATTATAAACAAAGGCCGAAAAAATTACACCATTTTAGCTGACAGGTTTATTTTATTTTCCTTGTTTGAACATTTTGTCCCGAGAACAAATATCTTTGCCGAATAAATCTCGCCTTGAATAAATTCCCGCGTGAAACACGCGCGTCTCCGAAAGGCAAGCTAAACCCGTTTTCCGTGACGTGATATTGATGCTTTCGATTGTTTGGGAAAAAAAATCCGCAGTGCCGATCGCTCCCTAATTTTCCCGCCCGCTCGCAGTATTATGAAACGCCCGTGGAGCAGGTAGCATGTTTACCTTTTGCCATCGTAATTGCCAGCCAATGAAATAGCTATGTATTTCAATACTGAAAGTACGATCATATATCAGGGAGATAACACAGTGACAGAAACGAAATGTCTGTATATCACTTTCTGAATTATTGAATTCAGTGACGGCGGAATGGGGGGAGGGGTCACCATTGAAGTAAATACAATTGGAATTATAATTATGGGGGGGGGGATTGATGCCAGTGCTTTTACTTTTTCTGAGTTATGTACCCACTAGCATCACGGACAATAGTAGAAACACACGCCAACACAAGGAAAAATAAAATCTTAAAAAATTTTGAAGTGATTTT